TTCATGTTTGTGTTGCCAAATTACCGTGGCGGAAACAGTCGGCTGTAAAATTAATTGAAATTCACGCCACTGTGCTTTAGTTACCACTGCACCCTTGAAAAACAAAAATCGATGACAAAAGTGCAAAATTTCCCCGTGACGGATGCAAGCATATCATATATGGTTTTGCTGCAAGTAGTGTTTATTGTTAATGAGTTGCCAAGGCGAACCTCATCTCGCGCCTTTTTGGTGGCGTCATATCCCTGCTGTGTGATTGGTTGAGTTGATGCAAAACCTTTAGAGGGGATGAACACCCAGATTCAAACGATAAAAAGCGAACACTTGTTGAGACAGATGGTTAAACAACTTTCTGCGAGTACACCGCCGTAACTGTTCCGTCACGCCCGCGACGTGCACGGTGAAGTACGTGTGTAAAAAGGGAGAGGAGGCGTGACTGACCACGAGAAAACGGACCAAACGGACAGTGCATTACTCTGTGCGGCCCGTCGCACGGCCGCAGCCCGCCCCAGCAGGGGCTCACGGCCCGTCGCGGGGGCCCCGCCCACCCTGCCCCGCCTAGCTACAGTCAGCTAACCGGACTCGGGCGGGGTGGGGATGGTACGCGGCACAGCACCGAGGCCCCACAGAGTGCAGAGGAGCGGGGTGGGGGGCAAGTGGGAGGGACTCGCGCGCCGCCGCGGCCGGACGGGCTGAACCCCACAGGGGACACCGTGCTCGGCTGCGGTCAGCTGAGCTGGGGAGGGATCGGGGCCCAGGGCGGGTCTCCGCGGCCGCTCTCGTGGTGTCCAGTGGCAGCGACCTCGCTGACAGTGAAACATAATCACGCGCCCCGACGATTCCTTGCGAGCCAACAAGTACTCGCCTGGCGGGCCGCGGTCTGCTGTAGTCAGACCAGCCTAAGGTCTCGACTGAAAAGACACGGGCAGCATAGAGATTTCAAAAGGCGAGTGATTCCACTGCCGGCAACGTGCAGCAGGCTAGCTTCTGCCCTGCTCGGCGCACCGCGGCGAGCGTGTCTCAGCGCCGGTGGTTTAACTGGAGCGCCGAACACTCGCCGCCCGCTGGGTAGGCAGCCTTTCTGCCTCTGATGTGGATGTGGTGACATTCGCCGACATTGAATACCTGCTGCAGCGTCCTTTGTAGGGTGTGCTCCAGAAGAGGCTTCTGCGGCCCGACCCGCGGGGGGGGGGGGGGGGGGGGTGCTGAGAAGGCACCTGCAGACTGATTCCGAAGAGCGCTCAAAGGGGGTTGCCCCATGAGTGCGACAAGAATGGAGCTATACGAAAGGTATAGAACAGCGCTCTTCGGAATCAGTCGGCTGGTGGGGCCCCCGTTTGACTCGGTGATGGCACCTGGGCCTCTCCCGCTAGCATCCCGATATTGAACAGACGCCACCGTTTTGCAGCATTAACTC